AGGTTAGAGGCTTGCATGTGTCTGTGCCTGACTTTTTACACGGGCACTGAGGATTCAAGTCTGGGTCCTCACGGGTGCACAGCAGGGACTGTTATCCACTGAGCCATTTTTCCAGCTGATGTCCTCATAAACCGCCTCCAGCCTGCAGAAAAGCTGTACTTAGCACCGTGAAGGTGAGGTTGACGCCAGGAAATGACCATTGTAGAAACCCAAGTCAAAAGAATGCTTTTCCTTCACGTGGCTCTGGGAATTCATTTAAACAGTGTTTAGAGTCGTTTGTCTCAAGCAAAGCAACACTGGGAATCAGATTTTTGTGCAGAACATATCTTTTAAAAAGTTGTTTATTTTTACTTTATGCGTATAAGTGTTTTATGTATGCATATCCTGTGTGTGCCTGTTGCCCATGGAGAATGGAAAAGGGTGTTGGATCCTTTTGAAACTGGAGTTATGGGTGGCTGTGAGCTGTCATGTGGGTGCTGGGAACCAAAACCTGGGTCCTCTGTAGGAGCAGCCATCCCTCCAGTCCCTAGAATTTATCTTTAAAACTTTAGAACCAGTGGGTTAAAGTTGAGGCGCTGCAGTGGGATTGCAGAGAAGCCAGGGATTACTAGACAAGTGGGCTGAAGGAGCGGCACACAACACTGTTCCGTCAGAGAGCTGGGCAAAGCAGAAGGGTTTTCTTTCCATCTGGACTCTGCTTTTACTTCTCCTGCTCTAAAGTCAGGAAGTCACTGAAAACAACAGATAGTGACATCGTTTCAAACTTAGAGTTGCAAAGAAAAAAATATTAGAAAGGATCTTCCTGGGGTACAACGGCTGACATTTTGCCGCATTTGCTTATTTTGTTCCCTTCAAATAAACATTTCCTTTTCCACGTAGGCACAGCAGTGGTCTTCTAGCACTTCCGTGTAGATGCATTCCCCTGAACAAGGGGGTCTTCCTCTGTAACCATGATGAACAATGTTATCAACTTATCATGGACAAAATGCTCACAGCTAAGTCACAGACCTTCCTCAGATTCCTTCAGCGGTGTCAATCAAATGTGCAGAGGGAAAGCGTTTGGTTGTAAAGTCCTGAAAGCAATTCATGGCCTGGAACAACTTCTCCACCTTTAGTTCTTGTTAGCACAATATGATTATTCTTTCAAAAACTCCGACGGGTCAATTATTCTGTAGCAAGTCTTTCAATTTGAGGTTGGTTTTCAATTTGAATCTTCATTGCATTCAGGGTTTGCATTCTGGCAGGTAGGTGCAGAGCGGAAGTCGCATTGAATCTTTGCAGTACATGGTATCAGGAAGTTTGAAGTGTGTTCTGTCCGTGGTGATGCTCATCTCGACCCCCTGGGTTAGCTGCGGTCTGTGAAGTCTAGTCAACTTTCTCCCCATTTTAAAAATATGTTAATGTTATTAGTACATTATTATTATTGTGTGTTTGTAAGTGTGTGTGAAGGTCGGAGGACACCTTGTTGGAATTGGTTCTCCTTTTCTACCATGTGTGGCCTGGAGATTGAATTCAGGCTGTCTTTACCTGATAAGCCATCTTTTATATTACTAAGTTTAAAAAAATATTCTGAGATATTTTCTTTAAAGCTTTAAGTTTTTATTTATTTATTTCCAAAAAATTTAGTGTGTGTTTTGCCTGCATGTGTAAGTGTGCATCATGCTACTGTGTTGGGTCCCCAAGGAGATCGGAACTCCAGGAACTGAGGTTACAGATGGTAGTGAGCCACTGAGTGGGTGCTAGGAACCAGACCCAGGTCCTTTGCAATAGCAAACAATTGCCCTTAACTCTGAGCCATCTCTTCTGTCCCTGGGACATTTCTTATTTTCCAAGTCTGGTTCTGTGACATTCAGTCCGTTTGCAGTGCTGTATAATCACTCACACAGCTTTACACGCGTCTCCACCCTCCGCCTACAGAGACTTTTCCAAGTCCATTTTCTTCAGTGTTCCTGAGATAGCAGGCCAAAGCCTTCCTCCCTGTCATGTCCCTGTAACTGTGATTCTGTTCCTGGGACTGGAGACAGAATCTAGAGCCTCTCTTATACTGGACAAGCGCTCTACCTCTGAGTTATACCCGCAGCTGCTACTGGTTCTGTTGTTGCTCCTGGAAATCCCAGAAGGGCTCTTTCCCCTCACGGACACAAAGATACAATGGAGGTCAGCGTTGTGAAGTCCTTCCTACTCATCTACTTTATTTCAAACTGTGTGCTTACTCCTCTCGGACAGAACCTGTCCACAGTAGACAGGGCAGAAAAATGAGCAAGATGTCTTAAACTTCAGTGCCATATTTGGATAATATTTTGTTTATATCTCAGATTTTCTCTTCTTCCTACAATGTCTATGCTGTGTGTCTTTTCTTTAGGCATGTGGACATCACTGGAAACCAGCCGTGGAAAGCTGTAATTCCACTTTTCTTTCTTTTTTCTTTAAAATGTTTTATATATATATATTTATTTATTATGTATACAATATTCTGTCTGTGTGTCTGCCTGCAGGCCAGAAGAGGGCACCAGACTCCATTAGAGATGGTTATGAGCCACCATGTGGTTGCTGGGAATTGAACTCAGGACCTTTGGAAGAGCAGGCAATCCTCTTAACCACTGAGCCATCTCTCCAGCCCCCTTCTTTTTTGTTGTTTTTGTTTTTTTTTTTAATTAATTTTTTTGAGACAAAGTTTCTCTGTAGCTTTGGAGCCAGTCCTGGAACTTGCTCCATAGACCAGCCTGACCTCAAATTCACAGAGATCTGCCTGCCTCTGCCTTCTGAGCAATTTCAGTTTTTCCTCTATGTGATTTTTGACTATGTCAATAGTTCATGCAAACAGAATCTTACGATATTTGTCTTCTTGTGACACTTCTGCTTCATGTAGCTTATTGTTTCGGTTTCATCTATAAAATTATCCCTGGAAAAATGTGATATTTTCTGTGTACAGGTATTTTGCTTGCATGTATGTTCATGTGTGCTGTGACCTTGAAGGCCAGAAGAGGACATTGGATCCCTTGGGACTGGAGTTACAGTGCATCATAAACTTCCATGTGAATGCCGGGAATCAAACCCACATCCTCTTCAAGAGTGCCAAGTGCACTTACCCTCTGGACCATCTCTCCAGCCCCAAAGCACGCCTCTTTTGGGGACAGTACTCAGGCAAGTATCACTGTGCCTCACCAACAGCATGAATAATGAGTCTACAGACATAGCTCAGATATCATCTGGTTGTCGTGTGTCAGAATCTCTCTCCTTCCTTCAGACAAAATGTTAAACCTGAGAATCATAAAGAGAAAGACCAAGTCCACGTTTGTCCAACTAGAGCAAGTTGTATGTTGGGGGTGCTCCTAGAACTGGCCAACTTGCGATCTCACCCTAAGTCAGAATTTGAGGGAGCAGCCCCTGTTAGCTTTTTGAGGCCCACCCTTTTTTTATAGGAGAGATAACAAAGGTAAAAGTATTCTTCATGTGACTGGGGTCATAAATTTAGTGTAGGTTGAAAAATGTGTTGACATCAGTTCTAAGAAACAGGAACTTATTCATTACAAATAGAAACCTTAACTTGCAAGGACTTAACATGGGACAAACAGGAAATTCTTCTTTCCGTCCTTCTTTTCTTCCTTCTTTCCTTCTTTCCTTCCTTCCTTCCTTCCTTCCTTCCTTCTTTCATTTCTCTCTCTCTCTCTCTCTTTCTTTTGAGACAGGGTTTAGATCTGGCTGTCCTGGAACTCACTCTGTAGATGAGGCTGCCTCAAACTCATGGAGATCCACGTGCCTCTGCCTCCCAAGTACTGGGATTCAAGGCGTGTGCCACCACTGCCCAGCTAGGAACTTATTCTTAATTGTTTTTAACTGCAAACCGAACCCTTAACCTATTAGGAACATGTGTCCTGTTTTGGTCTCACAGTATAAACTTTCTATCATACATAATCACATTTTTCTTATCTACCTATATGTTTGTGGACACCTGGTTCCTTCCACATTTGACTATTGTGAATGAGGTTGCTATGAATATGGAAGTACAAACGTCTCATTTAGACCCTGCTTTCAATTTTTTGGGGATTTATGCTGTTTTATTATTATTATTATTATTATTATTATTATTGAGACAGAGTTTCTCTGTGTAGTTTTGGAGCCTGTCCTGGAACTAGCTCTTGTAGACCAAGCTGACCTTGAACTAACAGAGATCCGCCTGTCTCTGCCTCTCAAGTGCTGGGATTAAAGGTGTGAGCCACCACTGCCCAGCGTTATTACTGTTATTACTTTATTTGTTGGACATAGGTTTTCATGTAGCCCGGTTGCTTTCTCTTTCCTGTTAAGTTTCTTAGGGAAAAACACTTTGAAACTTGTGTAGAATATTTCGCTGTTTTTTAGCATCAATTGATTCATATCTGATTCCGTTATTTCAATGGCCGTCAAGTGGAAGTTTCCTACTATCACTCCGTCTTCATTTATGTGTTGTCATTCTACTGTAGGTAAGAGAGTTTTTCCCTTTATTTATGAATATGGACTCATTTTATTCATGTACTCTGGCGATATTTCATTGTTTTGAGAAATTTTTCCCTGTGTGACTGTCCAAGTTAGGGGATATGCAGTGAACTTCTCATTTCTTTGGTTTTTGTTTTGTTTTGTTTTGTTGTTTGTTTTTGTTTGTTTGTTTTTTCCAGGGAGGGTTTCTCTGTAGCTTTGGATCCTGTCCTGGAACTAGCTCTTGTAAACCAGGTTGGCCTCTAACTTATAGAGATCCACCTGCCTCCGCCTCTGGTGCTGGGATTAAAGGCGTGCGCCACCACCGCCCGGCTTTTCTATTTGTCTTTCACCATCCAGCAAAAGGCGAGGACAACCTGACTCCCCACACAGAGATCACACTTCATGGCCAGCCCTCTTATTTCGTCAGACTGGTGCTAGTCTCCAAGGAGTACACTGGTCCTCACAGGAGAGCCAGCCACGTCACGTCTCAAACTACACATCCCAGAAGCCTCCCAGGACGACGTCATCAGAAGGTGCCGCGCGCTGCTCAGGCTGCAGGTTCCCGAAAGCCGGCTGTGGCGGCTGCAACATGGCGGACGTGCTGAGCGTTGGGGTAAACCTGGAGGCGTTTTCACAGGCCATCAATGCCATCCAGGCGCTACGCTCCAGCGTGAGTAGGGTGTTCGACTGCCTTAAGGATGGCATGCGCAACAAGGAGACGCTGGAGGGCCGCGAGAAGGCCTTCATCGCGCACTTTCAGGACAACTTGCATTCGGTCAACCGGGACCTCAAGTAGGTACTGGCTGAAGGAATCCGGGTCGAGGACCCTCCTGGCACCTATCCCGCCGGGATCCCACGTCAGTCTTTCCAGACACGGACTGCTCTTGCTTGTCCTCTTTCCACTGTATTTCGCTTGTCCCCAGGTCCCTACCAGCCTCTCAGGGACTCCTTGTCCCTCGTCCCGTTACCTAGTATTCGTTCTGTTGGCCATTTGGTTCTGGTTGTCTTCTGCAGTTCTCGGTCTTCTCTGTGGCGGTCGCATTCTGACGAGGAAACGTGCTCTTTGCAGGAACGTCCACTTCGCTGATCTTACCAGTTTTCTTACCTGTAGGCCCCTGGGCACCATCACATCTGGCCAGACTACCCATTAACGCTGTTGCTGGCTCAGTTGAGTACCTGTCGTTCCGACAAGCTCTAATTCCCGTCCCCACCGCCGGAATTCATTGGTTTCACCTCACCACACTCTCGAACACTATCCCCTGTTACCTTTTTGCCTCTTTCCATTTCTCCTCAGCACTGCACGTCACCTGTCACCTTCATTCCTTTTGTTCAGCTCTTTCTCAACAGAGACCTAATCTCACATCTATCAACTAGGCAAATTCCTCATGCCTAGCCTCTTTTTAAGGAGGAAGGATTTATCTAGGTTCACAGTTTCAGAGGACTCAGCCCACTACAGTAGAAAAGGCATAGGAGCATCTTAGCCCCTAATACTTATTAATTTGTGGTCCTAGGGATTGATTACATATTTACTTTTGTTCTTATAAGACCCCTTCTTTTACTTCTTTAGTATGTTAAGAATTAACTGATCCTGGTGGTGGTGGTGGTGGCACACACCTTTAAACCCCACACTTGGGAGGCAGAGGCAGGCAGATCTCTGAGTTCGAGGCCAACCTGGTCTACAGAGACAGTTCCAAGGCAGCCAGGGCTGCACAGAGAAAATTAACTGAGAGGACATAGTCCCCCCCCCCCGGATTTTTTTGTATATTCTTGGCTATCCTCAAACTGGATTTGTAGACCAGAACTCAAAGAGATCCACCCGCTTCTGCCTCCTGAGTGCTGGGATTAAAGGTGTGCGCAACTGCACCCAGCTTAGTAGGTACTTCTTGTTTGCCTGAACTTGTATTCTTTTCTTGTCTTAGAAGGTTAAAATTGAAAGACTTTGACCTTTTATTTCTGAAATTGACCTTAACAGGAGCAGCATTTGGTGAGCTAATCACTTAGAGTCTTCGGACAAATTGGGATTCCTTTCTCCCATCCCATGTTTCTCCACAGTGCCTGGTTCCAACCCAGGGCCTTGCACATGATAGCCAAGTTCTTTGCTACTCAGCTAAGCCCCAGGACTCCCCAGTTTTGGTCTGGTAGGATGGAGGAGGAAGTGGTAATGAAATAATGGGTCCCTTTCCTCCCCTCTAATCCATATCCCTCCTTCGATTGCACATGTACACATTTTTGATTGCAGTGTTAGCAACAGGTAATACCTGCCCTGCTTGAGAGTGACACCCCGCCCCCATCACCATCACACACACTTCCATTTCACTTTTCCCCTCTGGCTTTCCAGTGGGGGACGTTACAGCCCTTGTCACTGTAGAAACATTAGCAATGTTGACAAGAAGATGGAGGCTAAAGTGTCTAGATTGGGTGCAGCATGGGAGTGGTTGACAGAGGCTTGTTGGCAGCTGGGCCATGTCCTCAGAATCCACTCCTGGAGTGTGTGGTTTCCTTGTTAGCTCACTTTCCCAGGCTTCTCCCTAGTTCCCCTGCTAGACTCAAGTGTGTTTGTTTGACACAGCCCCTGGATGGTGTCTTACCATTCCTTTTGTTTATTTATCTCTTCTTTGTTTTGCTAAAGCTTTGCCATCTGTGAAGCTTCGTGCACAAATCTATCCCAACGTGAAATGATAAATAATCATGATTTATTCAGGTACTTGCTGCTCTGCCAAATGGAGTGATCGGCACGTGGGTCCGGAAATCCTGAATGAGTGGCAGTGTTATGTCACACTGCAAGGCCCCAGACTGTCTCCTCCCCACTCTAGATGGATCTGAGTTGTTAAATCCTAATTTCTGGGAAACTTTCTGTTTCTCTGTGCCCTTGGATTTGTTTTCCCTTTATAATGGCATGAGACACCTAAGTTTTGTTTTGTTTTGTTTGTCTCACTGTGTAGCCCTGATCAGGCGGGTCTCAAATTATCATGGATACACCTGCCTCTACCTCCCCAGTGCTGGGATTAAAAGACTGGGCCACCGTGACTGGTTTCCACTGGTATGTTTGAAATGACAGCTCTCAGGCATTCTCTTGTCTTTTTGGAGACGTGTGGTGGTACTCATCCTTGAGCAGTGTGCTCGGCTTTGATGGAGTGAAGTGGACTCAGGTTTATGTCGTGTCTCTTTTTACTTTTAGTGAACTGGAACGTCTGAGCAATCTGGTAGGCAAGCCATCCGAGAATCACCCTCTTCACAACAGCGGCTTGTTAAGCCTGGATCCTGTGCAGGACAAAACTCCACTCTATAGCCAACTTCTGCAAGCCTACAAATGGTCCAACAAGGTAAGGGGGCTGTAGATGGAGCCAATAGAGCGAAACCCAGTGCTTCTCCCAGAAATGCCGAGCTTGAAAGCATGTTCTCTTTGGCCTCTCGGAATCTGCATGAGCTATAGAGTTGGAATTTTAGGGTTTTCTGTAAGTGCTGTTTCATCCCTTTGAAGCCTTTGGAGTTGATAATGATGCTCCTGTAATTACATTTGGAAAGGGTTCATAGATCAGAGGTACTTAGCCTGGAGATTGGTGTGGAGAGCAGATTATGGAACCCTGGATGGTCCATGTAGTATGGTGTGCTGTGGTGTTTGCCTGAGGAAGGTGCATCTGTCCTTGCTTTCCTCAGTTTACCAGGAGGCCTTGACTGTTAGAAGTTGAACGACTGGCGATGGGAGGGCTTAGCCGCCCACATTTGTGCAACCTTGATTGTCTTTTCTCTGTCACGATGGAAGATTGTCCGGAGAGTGCTGTTGGTTAGAGGATGCTCCACTGGTCTCCTACACGCATCTGAACATGTGCTACAGTGTGACTGTTACCATGTGGTTGAGTGGGCAGGTCCATGGTGTGGTTCTCCAGAAAACTGGAAGAGGAGAACTCAACATTTGTCTAGAATAACAGGAACCACTGGGCTTACAAACCCTAAGCAGTTTGCTGGCCTGTGAGTTTCTTTTGTTTGTCTGCTGTGTGTGTTGTGTTTTCCTGCTGGCCAGAAACTGGCACATACTTGAGGGACAAGTTTGGAGACCTGTTGATTGTGAATGATTGTGCTCCCCCAGTGCTTCGCCCTTTCTTTCCTGTCTGCTCCCTGTGTGATGACCAATGAGCCTTGGTAGTCTTTTTGCTGTGTGATTTTTTTTCTTTCCCCTTAGAATTTCTCTGGTGGGCTTGTTTTAGTGTTGTTTTTGGAGTGAGCTGGAGATTCAGGAAGATGATTCTCTCTGGGAAATGAAAGAACTTCGACTCTGAATATATTGATTTGGCTTTTAAGACCTTTCCCCCAAATTCTGTGGTGCCAGGTGTAGAAACCCACCCTGGAGTTGGAGGAAACTTCAGCGCGTCAAAAATGATCAGTAAAATAAACGATCAGGGAACTAACTCTGTTTTGAAGCTGAGCTCTTGAAGGTTAACGTGTGCATGGCTGTGTCACTTAGGTGCTGCTTAGGGCTTGCTGGCTTTTGTTGTTCTGAGACTCTCCTAGTGGGAAGAAGGATTGTCTAACAGCTGCAGAGTTCTGCATCCTTATGCCCAGAGAGCTCCCAGTGACTGCTAGGCCCTGTGTGGTAGGTGTCTTTAGAGAGGGTTAATTGGATGGATCAGTGGGCGGGAGTCTCAGCTTGGCTCATTGGAGTGATTTCCTTGGTGTTGGAGAGGGCCATTTCCTAAAAGAAGAGTGTGCTAGTCTGTTCTCATTACTGTAAGGAAGTACCTGAGGTGGAGTAACTGTAGAGGAGAGACGGTTATTTAGGCCTTGGTTTTAGAGATGCCAGGTCAGGTGCTACCTTGGCTTGATTCTGAAGAGGATTTCATGGCAGAGAGTATCATAGCAGTAGGTAAACATGTAGGAGGGACAGAACTCATTGTCAGACAGGTCAGAGAGGCTGTGGTCCCCAGTTGACCTAAGGATAAGGACCTATTCATACGTTCCACCTCTTGGTTTTTCCATGCAGGGTCTCTTTGTAACTTTGGAGCCTGTTCTGGAACTAGCTCTTGTAGACCAGGCTGGCTTTGAACTCACAGAGATCCGTCTGCCTCTGAGTGCTGGGATTAAAGGCGGTGCCACCACTGCCCTGCAGGTTCCACCTCTTAACAGATCATCACTACACTGAGGACAAACCCTCTCACCTGTGAAGCTTGGTGGGGAGGTGACAACCCTCACTTAAACATCCCCACCCAGAGCAGAAGGCATCAGGCAGAAACCGTGGCAGTTGCTGGGGCCAAAGCCCCCTGCTTTCTAGTCTGCCCTGTGGAAGCTTTCTGGTTTTCCTGGGGAGTGTGCCTGGTGAGTGGGTAGAAGCTGGTCAGCAGATGCGTGGCTGGACTCGATTCCTAGAAAATCCAGTGTTTGGATGAGGAAGTCCTATTGCTGTGTTACATGGGCCGAGAGCCCAAGCGATGAGAGCTTTTTAGTGGGATGCTTTGGCCTGGGTGGCGGAGACGCCTAGTCTTTCATTGAAGTGATGGCAACTTATGTTTGAACAATGCTACTTTCATAACTTAAGGAATCAGATTGGCTGTGAAAACAAGTCCTGGCCCTTGCCTTTGTCCTAAGGAGGGGAAAATTTTTTATTAAGGAAATAAATATGTGTGTTTGGAATCCATGCCTCAAGATGCTACAGGTTAAAATCTTACAGAAGCTTGTCATAGACTAAGTCCTATAGTCACTGTTGGAGAGCTTTGGAGGCGTTAGGCGTGGCCCTGACATGTGGTGATGCGGTGATAGGCTTATAAAGCAACACTGTCCTCACTGGTCCCTGTGTCATCAGAAGAGCTCAACCTCCTGTGTTAGAGCCAAGCAGACTGGAGCCCCGGGCACCAGCCTTGTCATAGCTCCCAGCTGCACTACTGCAGTTTGAGTTTGGTGGTTGTTTTTTGTTTTGTTTTTATTGTTTGTTTGTTTTCCCCTGAAACTTGATGGTTAAGTTTTCAACTTAAAAAACATTTCTCCCCTTTGGCCACATCTTAGAAATTCATATGATATTTTATTCATACTTTTTTTTTTTTAAAAAAATCTATTTAGTGTGCGTTCATTTCCATGGTTTATCAAAAGGCAGGGAATACATAGTTTGTGGGTCTTCAAACTTTCTTCCAGGGCAGGCATTACTAATCAACTGTTGCATTCTTTGCTGTTCAGGCTGTGGGTTGGCTCTGAACTGTACGAATGCTCTGTGGCTGGGCTGCAGGAGACTTGACTTCTGGAGCAGGATGTGATGTCTAATCTGGCTTTTACTTCTTTCTTCCATACCTTACTTAGGGAAAGATTTAGGATTATGAGAGTCATAAAACCAGAAAGAGATGAAGAAAGCCAGGGTGAGGGTGCCTTATGTATAATTTTCCAAGAAACTAAAGAAATAGCCTTAGGAAAGAAACCAGTATTCTCATTTTCAGCTGTTGACATGCAAGAGGCCAATCATTAATTATGTGTTTTTCTTGCTTCTGTAAATGAGAAGAGATTTTAATTGCTAAAGCATTCACCATTCATCATTTTATCCAAGGAATTTAAAGCAGTACGTGCAGTAATGTGTGAAGGGAGCTGGGTATCTTGCCCGTGTCAGCTTTCTGTGCTGTGCTGAGAATGGAAGGGCACGGGAAAAGGCTTGGACACCACCCATTACGTGGTGGGCTTCCTGTGCTGGTGGCCATAGAAAGGTCTCGTGCATGTCAATCACTACTCATTTTCTTTGGAGGAGTTTTCCTAATTTTTGTAAAGTCAGTTGGAGTATTAATTACATGGTGGTTGGCATAATTGTTAGAATAACACATTCAAAGATTAATCTAATTTACGGAAATGGTGTCAAATCGCTGTGAACAGCACTTTGCCCATGCTGATTCGGGGAAAGAGCCGAGCTTCTGACTCTGATGCACCTATAGGTAATTGTTCTGCAGAAGGGTGACAAGCTCTCTCCACTTGGGCAGAAAATAATTGGCATCAGCACTGTCCCTGCCGTAGTCAGTGTAGACTTTGTCACTTGTCATGCTCAGACATGAGAGACTGAACTTGTCCTGAAGGTCCCTTTCTGAGGATTTCAGCCTCCTGTCACCAGCCTTTTAATTTCAGGCATTGATGATTTTCACTTGTTTGTGGCAGAGGCTGCTTTGTGTAAAACCCTCTGTGGTCCCAGTGGGAGTTTGATCCCAGGAACTCCTGTGCCTGAAGTTAGAAGGTCCACAGATGCTTAAGTCCCTCACATAAAATGAAGCCGTATTTGCATTTAACTATACACACTGCCTTTTCTCTCTTTCTGTGCTTTTGGAGATGGGTTCTGCTGTGTTGCTGAGGCATCTGCCAAGTGATCCTTCTCCCTCAGCCTCCCGAGTGCTGGGATGTAAGCATGTGCTACCATGCCCACCTTCTCCCCTGTGCGTCACATGGTCACTGGGTGACATGATACCCAGTACCATGCAGTTGTGTGGATGGCTGCTGCACGGTCTTGCCCAGACAGCAATGACAAGGAGTAGTCTGTAGACGTTCAGTATAAGAACAGTATCTTCCACTAGGAGTTGGTTGAACCTGCAGATTCACCAACAAGAATTAGGGGAGGACTCACAGCATCTGCATAGAAGAACCCACCATGATTTTGCTTTTCCTTGGTGATATTGGGAGTAGCAAAGATTCCAACTACTTGAGTTGGGAAAGACCAACAGAGCAAGATGCTGTTGCTGCTTCCCTCTCTCCTCCCCTCTTCGACCTACTTTTCTAACATCTTTAATGTTTGTTTGTTTGGTTTTGGTTTTTTGAGACAGATTTTCTTGGTGTAATAGTCCTGGCTGTCCCGGAACTCACTTTGAACACCAATCTGGCCTTGAACTCAGAGATCCTCTGCCTTCTCAATGCTGGAATTAAAGGTGTTTTACTATCACATCTGATTTAATGTTCTATTTATTTGTTTATTTGTTCGCATTTTGTTTTTCGAGACAGGATTTCTCTGTGTATCCCTCTATAGACCAGGCTGGCCTCAAATTCAGAGATCTGCCTACCTTTGCCTCCCAAGAGCTGGAATTAAAGGTGTGCACCACCACTGCTTGGCCTAATGTTTTATTTTTAAAAGAAGGGTTTTAGGCTTGATGCAGTGGTGCACACTTTTAATCACAGCATTTGAGAGGCAGAAGCAGCTTAGGTCAGGAAAGGCTTTATTCTGCTTAGCTCTCTACTCACCTGTCTCTGAGAGTTGAGGCAGGAACTTGAGGCAGACCTGCTTACTATTCCATGCAGCAATTTCTCTGACCGAGGAACTCTCCTCAAAGCCAACAAAGTACAGCAGGAGCCATGGAGGATGTTGCTTCCTGGCTGACTC